CAGCAGCTGTTGATCAGCAGAGGCGTCCGTCTTTGGATCGTTAAGGTCATTTCATCTAACTCTGCTGCACTGTAAATCTCCAGTACTGTTATCCACACACAGATCCACGGCTGCAAGAAAAGAGAAAAATGTGAATTTCAAGCAAAAACAAATTACACTTGCTATTTTTTCACTGTTAACGTGTGCTGCTGTGTTTGGTCTCACCCATGAGGCTGGCACTGAAGGTCATCGGCACAGGGGCAGTGGTCACGGGGACCCTCCTGGTCCCAGGCTAGCATGTCCATCAGCAGGTTGGGGTGGCTTAGACAGGACTCCCCCTTGCCCGGTTTGGGGTTACATACTGGAAATAAAAGCTCTGATGGAAGCAGCAGAGAGAAAAATACATGAAGTTTAAAACTGCCTTTATTGAACCTTCTAAGTCATTGACTGCTCAGTCCAAATCACAATGTCTCACTTAGACTATCCCCGTTCTGACTTTGTTAGTCTTGGACTATGTTTGTTTCCTAAATTCTTTCACCAAGCATTTAGAACTGGTTACAGGTTGAGATAATAACATATTACAGATTGCTTTAAAATAGCAGACAGATCCAATTCGGCACTTTAAGGTAGTCTCTCTGGTGTTCCAACCCAGATGAAACTTACCTGGTTGGAAAGCACAGCAGAGGTGTGGCCTGCAGTCACTCTGACTCTGACAGATGGTTCCCTCTGTTCCACTGGTGGTGTTCACTGTGCACTGGCCCCAAACACACATCTGATCAGAGCAGCACTCCTCATCCTTGATGCAGGGCTATGTGAGGACACACAATCAGATATGTTAAAAAAGTATGTCAAGTGCATCCTTTTGGATTCATGTAGATAGCAAAGGGCACTTTTTTTTTTTGCTTAATGCATTTTTATGTCACTTATGTTACTTTTGAACATTTTCAAGTCCAGGGGTGTGCGCAGAGGGGGGCATGGGGTGGTATTTCTATGTTATGCTACATTCGCTTCTAATCTACTATATTTTCAGAGCAAATATTGCACATTGTAGTATACATCATTTATTTCAGAAACGTTGGTACCATTAATTAACCAAGATTATGGATTGTATTATGTAAACGATCTAAATACTTGTTTCTGCCACTTTACAATAGAAAATGTTTTATTCAAAACAAACATTCAACACGAATTATGTTTAAACTCAAGTTCAGTGCTAGTTTTTGTCTACTGCACATAACATTAAAACTATGTCCAATATTTTCTATGCTGTATATTTCTAATAAAAAAAAACTGCAGAAATTGCAGTTCCTCTATTGGCCACATGAGGCTTCAAATATATAAGTCCCCATATTGTCACGGTTTGCATTGGCAGACTGTGTGGAGATTAGAGGTGCGGACCCAAGTGCAGACAAGTAGAGGAACAGGTGGAGGTTTGAACTGAAAGTGAGCCTTTCATTGGTGGCTGTAAAAAACACTGTAAAGCATTTAACGGAAGGGGAACTGAAAACACTAAGAAAACCTAAACTGGGAGAAGCTAAACAAAAGAACATGAAGAACAAGCAGATGATCCAACGAGGAACAGCGGGAAACACACACTATATATACACACAGAAGGAAAGGAGGAAATGGCAAACAGGTGAGGAACACAGCTGTGACTAATCAGACAAGACCAGACAG